ATATGAACTATAAATGCTTTCTTTCTTGTTTCATGGTTAATATTGGGATAATAAATATAAAAATAGAATGTTTTAATTTCCAAGGTATATTTTTTGAAAAAAATACTTTTACTTGTGACAATCATCTTGAATATTATTATTGTTTAGGTCACCAATATAATAAAACCAATATGGCAGTCAATAAATATTTCAAAAATTTTATCTTTTTAATTTTAAAAGCCCTTTTAATTCTCAAAAGTGTAATGATTTTGATAATAAATTAGAGTCAGCCAGATAGAATGAAATAAAAACTGGCACTGGAATTGTAGGTTAGATGGGCATAATATTGGACTAATGGATACATTGGGTATGTTGAGTATGAAATTTCCTCACCATATCTATACAAAAATCATACATTTGCAATATAAAAACTTAAGTTCAGAGCTCAGGAGGGAGGTAGAGGCTGGATACTGATCTAGAAGCTATCAGCTTAGAAGATGTGACCAAACTATGGGAGTATCTGAATCAAAACATGAAATGAAATGAAAAAGAAAAGTTGGCCAAGTCTGGAATTCGAGGATAACATTTCAGCCTCTAGGAAAAAAAAATAGGAATGATTAGGGAGAACACAGTAATATGAGTAACTATGATGAAACCAGGTTAAGTCAAGTCCTCTGATATATGGACATAAAACATAAACCAAGAAATAGAGTAGTAGCACAGGGATTAGAGCCTTGCCAAACACTGAAAGATGATAACACCAGGAGCGACTTGAGGTCGAGTCCCAGCCTTGAGATAAGGAAGGTGCCAATAACTTTATTTTTAAAAGATTTGGAAATCAGAGAACCAGAGTGAGGTCTAACTTCAAGCTCTAAGGTATTAGGCAAGAATTCGATTCCATCTTTTGAACAATTTTTAGAGAACAGAGCCAGATAGTGATTACACTGTAAGGTCACTTATTCTTCCTTCTTGCAGAATCCATGTGATGATAAACGACACAAAGACATCTGGTCCAGAGAGAAAACTTGTGACCACTTACCAAAATTTCTAGTAATTGGTCCACAAAAAACAGGTAAAAAGAGCCAATTGTGCTACTTATATCCTTTTTAAAAATATTTTATGAGATATATTGTTATATGGAGTTATCAGATTAGATTTTTCTTTGTGAAATATTTAGCTATCCATGCAAGTTTACTATTCGAACTGCTTTTCATCTCCATGAATCGCATTTATACCGTGAACCTCAAGAGGATCTTAATGTTGCCCACTAATTAGTCTTAAACACTAAAGTCTTCATGAATTTTAAAACTGTTCAACATACATGTCAAACTTGGAAAACTTTGAACTTATGTGTCACAGTTGTTGTACTTCATCTTTAAATTTTTACTTTTCTGGCTTTATTTAATTAATTTCTATAGCAATTTATAAAAACATGTTTTGGCTTGATTCAAACTATTTTATCTGGTACATCAGCCTTTGAATTGATTTTTGTTCAGAGCCACTGCCATGATTACTTTCAAATATTTTGCATGTGTGATTTTTTTTAAAAAATAATCATTAGGTATTAGCATGGTATGGACTTACTTTCCGAAACACTTGAAGTTCATCAGGTATTTTTTCCTTGGTATTTTCTCATGCACTGAAGGACAACTGCATAAGAATGCAGTAAAAGAGAATGAAAGTATTTCACCAACGAGATGACACTTTCAATTAGAATATTTTATACTTTCTTCAGTATGTGACAGCTTTATACACTTTGCTCATGTCCTGATTAATTAAAGTTTTTATTGAGTTGCTGTATTTTGAATTCACCACTTTGACTAGAAGAAGCATTTTCATCAGTGAGTGCACAAACCATAACAGAAAACAAACAGTCTCAATAAATAAGCCTGGCCCAGATGGAGATATTTGTAATACAAGTAAGTAGATCATTTTAAAAGTTGTGGGCAAAATTTCCAGACTATTAAATATTGGTTGTTGAAATCTTTTCTTCTTCTAGGAATATAAATTGTATTACAACAGTAAGTTAACACATGTGCAGGGAGGGGAAAGAGCAACACATATTTTCAGATAGATCACTTTTGTTGCTGCTTAAAATGTGCATTAATTTTCTACCAACTCCCTTACAGCATTCCTAACTCTGGAGTGACTACTAAAAATATAAAACAACCCTGTGTTGTAAAATTGTGTTAAAAATCTAATAGAAAGACATATCCCTTGTCATGTGTCATTGATGTTATTATATTTTAGTTCTATGAGAAAATTACAGCTTAGTAACTATAAATCTATTTTTCCTTCTTGTTGTTTGCATTCATAAAGACATTAAACTATACCTTTAGATTTTCATATTTGACCTACCAGTATGGAAATGATAAAGCTTTTAACTGGTTTTGGCTTTCCTAAGACAAACAAACAAATCAGATGTTAAAACAAAGGAATCAGATGGTAATAATCTTTCATAGGCTATGAAAATATTATTCTAATATAAAAATGGTTGTAGTATTCTTAAAATCCAATTGTAGAAGTCTGAAGTCATAGTTTGTTGTTCTTATTGCTTCAGTTGGCAAAACACCCAGTGCAGTCAGAGACTATAAATTCACTGCAGCGGAGGGTTCACAATTAAATGCTGTCAATCTGCCCTTAGATGCACAGTTGTCTTTCGATGACTTAAACGTGGCACATGCGTCTCTTACAATAAGCATGAGGTATAAAAGTGGTTCCCAAATTGCTATTTACTCAGTTGTTATGAGGTGAGAATGGAAAGACGTGATATTTCACTTTGCCATTGCTGAATCCTAGAAGAGACAGATTCCTGTGGGCTGAAATTGGGTCAGGGAATGAGGAAAGGGAGAAGAGAAACAGGCAGAGATGATAGACATAGACTCAGAGACTTTAGACTTAAGAGACTCAAAGTTCAAATCATAGTCCCTTGTGAGCCTTTGGACAGATATTCATCCTTCATCATTCAGAGTCAAATTCTGGTATTGTCAATGCAGAAGAGGATTCTAATAGGGTTACACTTAGCACAACAATTATAAGAGCATAATTCATTGGCCTTGGATCTTTCAGAAGATCAATGTTCACATTGTCAATATTAATGTCTCAGGATTTGTCTGGCTTATCTCGGTACATCAGAAATAAGGAGGAGTTGATTGTATACAAAATAGAATAGTTTCTATTAGTATAGGATTTTTTTCTCTTCTTCCGTGAAATATTTATATTAAAGAAATTGATATAAAATGAAATGAGGTAAAATAAATTGATAGAAAATGAATGTCTAGGATAGATGACAATTTAGGTGATAAGTTTTTAAATGTACTTTTTGAGGTAGTGGGCCCAGATTTTATGACTGATTATATGAATATCAAGCCACATTTTTTCTATTTCTATTTGAGAGTGCTTTCTCTCTCCTCCCTATCAGATGCCTCTTGATGTCCCTCAACATCCTGGAGGCATGAAGGTATAGAGTTCAGAACATAAAGGCTTTGACTTTCTGTAGGCCAGGGGAGATCTGGGTACAATTCTGTGACCATCAGGGTAATTAAACATTTCTACTTACTGCCGAGTGAGGCTATAAAGTATCTATATTTAGATAATCAACAACAACTAAAGAATATTTTTTATATGTGCCCTGCATTCATCTACATTTAATACCTTCACAGAATATTAAGCTATCAGTTTTCTCATTTGTCTTGTGTGTCTCAAATCTCTCTTTCTCTCCACCCCCCAATGAAAGTGTTATCTTAAAAAGTACTTAAAAAGAACACTTCTGGATTTCATGTTTCCTTCCAGCTTCTACTCTATTGCTAATTCATTTCCCTAGAACATTTTTTGGTTTTGCTCTTCTCATATTTTCTCCTTTTAAAACTCCTGTTATATTTAGGAGTAAACCAGATGAGCTTTTGAGGATGCCCCTCGTCCCTCATAACTATTAAATCTGTATTTTTCAGTGTGGTTGAGAGATTTCTCCTGTCTAAATTTTAGGATTCTAATTTAGTTCTTAACCAGTTCTGTCTCCTTCATTCTTTTAATCGAGTTTGTATAATTCGATTTCATACTTGTTATTCCTTAAAAGTCTTTTAAAATTGGTAATTACATCTCCTTAGGGCATTTATTAACTTTGCCATCTTATTTCACAGAGTCATTCATTATAGGTGTTTTAACATGTCTTCCATCAAGGTGGTTGGTCCCCATGGATCTGTTGTTACATTCTTTCCTTTAGCTACTCATTACTTCTTAGTGGCCATGTAAAGCTGTGAGGATCTAAAAGGGCGACAATGTCATTCATTAATACTCAAAGCGCAGTAGCCTTTGCTCATATGAGCTTAAGGTATATGTGAACAAAATGCCAATTATCTGCTGGTCTTCTCTACTTCCAGATTCCAGTTGCAATGATAGTTGTTCTGCCAGCCCACCTATGTAGCTTGTCTGCAGCTCTGCAGATATCTAACATCTAACATAAGGGCTAGGACATCTAACAAATGCTGCTCACTCCAATGTATCACAGAACACTTTACCTTTTCAAGAAGAAAAGTCTTGATTTATGAGAGTTATGATGACCCAGTCACTTCATGAGTTCTTTCTGCTATCACTGCCAGTCTCTGGCCTGGCTCTGAGGGAAATGAGGTTCAGAGATTACATTTGAGACTTCTGCAATGTGCACACAGGTGGTTTCTATCAGCTAGTCTGTTCCATCTAGTGCTCCAATTATCAGACTTGATTGTCATATTTTCCAGAGAAGTCACTGAAGCAGCCATCTTTTGAGAGTCCTACCTTCTTCTTTCAACCTTACTGTGTAACACTTATGTTTTTAAGGAACAGTATTACAATACATTTCCTCCCAGAATCTGTCACTGATTTCCCAAGTCTAAATCACCCATTTTCTCATATATTGGAAATATACTCTGGTCTTCTCTCATTATGGCACCTGTCACACTACATCACAATTACTTGTGTACTTGTCCAAGTCCACACATGGACTTTAAGTTCACTGAGGGTAGCAAATGGGTTTTCTTAATCAAGAGTTACTTCCGAACCATACACAGAGTAGCATGTCAACTTCTGTTGAATAGTTTGATTTCATTCATCTGAATTTCAATGCTAATTGAAGACCCACTAGTTAAGGTACTGTGCTTAACGATAAAGATGGAGACAGAGGGATCCATGCCTTTCATGCTTTAGCCACTCACCTGACTCCAGGAGGAAAGTTGAGCTGCATGACTTCCGCAGTGCCACACTACTGCATCATCATTCTGCTTCACTTCGGCCATATGTTAATATTAACTCAGGCATTTTGATAAACAGAATCATGTCAGACTAATAATAGAACACTTAGATTGTGACTGCATGGAATGCACCTAATAGATTTTAAGGAACTCATTTTGACACTGGAAAATAGTTGATTATTTTAATATTCCTTTTTGAGCAAAAATATGCTAAAATAATATTTTGTCTCTTATTGCCATATAACTTTTTGCCTTCTTTTTTTTTGTAATAGGAACAACTGCACTTTATTTATTTCTTCTAATGCATCCTTCAATCATCAGCAATCTCCCTAGTCCAAAGACATTTGAGGAAGTTCAGTTCTTTAATGGCAACAACTATCACAAGGGAATAGACTGGTAAGAAAAGTAACGAAAAATAAATTCCATTATTAACACATGCTCAATCACTGCAGAGCAATTACAGATGTATGTGTGGCATCTGCATAATTACAGGATAAATTTGTTATGCTCAATTCTACCACAGTGAATTAGAAATTAATTTATAATGATGATATGTTTAATCAGTGTTGCCTATAATGTGATTTGGACAGTGCAATAATGATAATATTTTTCTGCTAAATTAGTATGATTGAATAAAGAACATTATGGGATATATTTCATCAGAATTATTCATAAGGGTATTTAAAATTCTCTTTAAGCATAGCATTATTTAACTAATTTTTTTTCTGAACACATAATTTGTTTTCACAACAATGTTTGAGGCAACAAATAAATCAGTAGTTTGTTTTATTTTATAATTCGTGACATGTATCTTCATTAACCACATAAACCTGTAAGTTTTGTTATAATATAGGCTGATACTTGTCATGCAAATAATAACAGCACAGTTTCAAAACCATTATCAATTCTTGTCACACACGTACATAAAATAAATATTAAGTAACATGTGGTAAATTATGAAAAAAACAAAATCACAGTATTTCCCCTAAACTAAAATAGAATAAACCTGATATTGGAAATGATTTTCACTCTGGTGATTTTTTCTAGCTCTATCCCAATTTTTCAAGAAAACGTGGTCCTGAATTTAATTTCTAGTTCACAGGTAAATAAAGCAAATCTCACCTGAGGAAAATTCCCCTCAATGCACACATCTGCAGCATGTAAGTTTGTGTGTCATCATCATGCATGAACTTGTTTGCAATGAAAGACACATTTTTTTAAGGTACAGCTAGGATCAGGGTTGGGCAGGTGCAATACCGGTGAGCAGATCAAGTTTGCCATTGTGGTTAGAGATGTGTCAGCTCTGCATCTAGGAGATTATATCCTACCTTACTTTAAAAAGGCTAAATAACCTTTGGAATTGCATGCAGGTTATTAAAAGCAGAACGGCAATTTTCTCTGATCTGTGAGCCCAAATGGAACACAAATTGTTTAGCAGGAATATAGATGAGACTCTTCACCACTCCGCATTTGGGAAACATAATAACAAATGTCAAAGAGGGAAATAAGTGTCTTATATGAATTCTTAATTGCTCTCATTATTTATTTCTAGAACATTTGAGGGTGAGAGAAGTGATGAGCTGTAAGGAGGGTTACACACATAATTAAAGACTTGTACTGAATTAACCTCAGAACATATTGATTCCATAATCCGCACGCAGAGGAGCGTTCTGACAGCATATGGAGGAGGGAACCTACTGAGGCACCACAGGATCAACTGGCAGGAAATAGCCCCTTAATTACTCTAGATAGACTATACTGTGTTCACATTGCTACATATACTACAAATTATGAAGAAATTCAGAAGGAAGAGAACCGCCATGCCCTAAAATGGTTGGTATTTTATAGCTATTCAGACTTGCACATCTTTCTGTCTTGTGAACTTTAATCTCACTGAAGAATTTCTGCATTCAAATTTGCAAACATAAATTTACTATTTTTTAATATCAACTAAACAGTATAGTGTAATTTGCTGTTTGCCACGGGCAAATGGTATTTCTTGAATTGGCTTTTTATAGCACAGAACATCAGCCCAAATGTATAGTACTTTTCCTTTGACCCTTATTGGCCTACCTATTTCACCTCACTCCTTCCCACGCCCAAAATGGGTCATTAGAACAGGAATATTTTGGATTGTCTTCACATTCAATGTGTATATAATATTTATTATTTAAACTGTAACAGCATAATAATCAGAAATAGCTATAAATGAATATTAAAATGTTCCAATTATTTAACATTCAGAGTATGGCAAGAAAAATTATTTTCAGATTAATTAGTTGTCTTTCTCTGCCTTCAGGTATATGGACTTTTTCCCTACACCGTCCAATACTACAAGTGACTTTCTGTTTGAAAAGAGTGCTAATTACTTCCATTCGGAGGAAGCTCCCAAACGAGCTGCATCTCTTGTCCCCAAAGCCAAGATCATCGCCATCCTTATTGACCCCTCAGACAGGGCATACTCTTGGTACCAGGTATGGTCAGTAAAAAAATCTGCTAGAAGCATTTTGTTATAGCTTAAATGGAGGCAGTGACAAATAACCAGAATAGAACCCAAACATATGAAAAGTCAAGTATAAGAATTTCTGAACCCCAACCCCCCACCAAAAAAATATGAGAAATAAGGACTTTCAGGCATAAAATAATTATTTAAAAATCACACATCATCAAAGAATTAATAGATTTCCTAAGCTATATAAAATGTAGAATCTTGATTTATCAAAAGTTAACAAATTTAAAAGTCAGTATCTAGAGTAACAAATAAATGGTAAATGGCATAGTGCCTTTATTTTGTAAAAGTTTCCTCCAAGTTAATAAATAAATAAAATATCACAGTAGAAAAATGAGCAAAATGAACAAAAGGCACAGCTAAACAATCACACATACACAAAAAACTGTCCAACAATTTATGTGAAAAATAATCAACCCAATTGGACACCAGGTCTCACTCTATTACCCAGGCTGGCGTGCATTGGCATGATCATAGCTCACTGCAGCCTCTACCTCCTGGACTGAAGTGATCCTCCTGCCTCAGCCTCCCAAGTAACTGAGACTACAGGCACACACCACCACACCTGCCTATTTGTTTTATATTTTTTTTAGAGATGGGGTTTCACCATGTTGCCCAGGCTGGTCTTGAACTCCCGGGCTGAAGCAATCCACCAACCTCAGCCTCCCAAAATATTGGAACTACAGGCATGAGCCACCAAGTCCAGCCCATTCTTTTTTAATATCTTGACAACAATTGTGATGTTTTTCTATGCTGGCAAGAGAGTGATTACAAAGGTTCTCAAGTGTTCCAATAGAAGGTACACTTGGGATATTTTCTGAAAATTCATTTGGTAGTAGTTCCATAAAAGGGTATAAAGATCTTTCGGTGATGTGATTCCCCTTCTGTAATAGATCATAAGGGAAACTTCAAAAGGATGGACAAATATTTAGGAACATTGCAGTACTATCTACAAAAATAATAACAAGAGGAAAGTGTCCATCAATATAGATTTGTGTCATACTAAAATGGAATATTCTGCAGTAACATTTAACTATGGTTTTAATTAACAAAATAGTAGTTAAAAGTTGTTTGTCTAATGTGTAGATATTAAGTAATCCTGATGATATGTAATTAAACATTATCTAAATACTGTGAGGAAGTATGTAGAGGTGCTCTGAAAGCATGGCGTAAGAAAATAAACTTAAGACCTAAAACTGAAGGACAAGTACATATTCCCTGAGTGAGAATAGAAGGAAGGTGGAGTAGAGGATATAGTATATGTTAAATACATTGGATATAAAGAATCATGGCACATTTAAAAAGCTAAAAGAATTTCATGTGGCTTGTGGGAAAATCCTAGGTAGAGACCTATAGGACTCGAAGCTGAGAGGCAAACTAGGGCTAGAACCATTTGGCTGCTGCCATTTGTTGAGCAACTGAAAGCCTTTGAAAAACGGTAGCCAGTGTGTGACTACCAGATTTTCTCTTACAATACATCGAATTATCTGCTATTTGAAGAAACTGGAATAGGACAAATGACTCTTTGGAAAAATCACACTTGAGGCTATTGCAATAGACCTACTGAGATATGGAAGTGGTGTAGACAAAAATGTTAAGTAGAAGCTGAATGAAGAATAAGTATTCAGAGATATTTAAACATTAAAACCAAGAGAATTTGGTGAGAACATAGTGTCAGGGATGAAACAAATTTCCAATCTGGGCACCTAGATGATGGCCACACATTCCCATGAAAAAAGAATCATTGCAGTATATAGGAGGGGGTGGGGTGGGGTGGGAGGTGGGGACTAAAAAAGCGTAGATTATGATCATGGTGAATGAAACCCTTCATTATCAAAAGAACAGTAAAGTCACCTGACACTCTGGAAGAGGTCTAAGTTAGAGACAGATGTTTGTGAAGCAGAGGTATGAAGCCATGGCCATGTAAATGGTGAAATCACCTAAGGAAAGAATTTAGAGATGAAAAGTGCAGAGCAGGATGAGGCGCCAAGAAAGATAAGAAAATATAGCCAAAATAAAAGAAAAAAATATTCAGGAGTACAGTGGCACTGAATCGAAGGGAAGGGAGTACTGCTAGATGGAGGGGTGGCAACAATTCCAAAAACTGCTAAAAAATCAAACCGTTAGGCAAAGCGAAAGATGTGGAGGGAAGTGGAGCCCTTACCAAAAGAGTAAAAAAGAGCAAAGCCAGATAGATTTTGGTGAAGAAAGAAGTAACTAGGGGTGAAGAAATAGAGGCAGCACTTGCGAAAGACTCCAAAAACGTGATTTTGAAGGGGTAAAACAGGACACTGGTTTATTACATAGAAGTAGAAGTGGAATTGAGAAAACATCGTCTGTGGTAGTGGTGATTTGATAAGTCATTTCCAAAGAAAAAGAAAGGTTAAAGGCCCAGAGGAGAAAATAGGTAACTAACTCTGTGAAGATACAGGAAAGAATGACTATAGGAAATGGCTTAGATGGTGAGACCAGTGGCAGCCCTGCCTCCATTCCGAGTTCTTAACTTTTCTTGTGTTGGGATTCTTCCAACTGTCTGATGGTTCCTACGAGTGTTTCAAAAATATATTTTAAAAGCATGAAACTAAATATATATACAAAATAAACTGCTATGTTAATGTGAAATACTTTTTCAATCAGTAACAAACTTTTTAATTAAATCATTATATGGTAAGTTCTAATGATGAGTCTAGTACTATAATAACTTTGAAATAGTAGTGACCATAAGCAACATTTTGATATATCTAAGACACCGGTAATGGGATATAAAATAACTGATTTTTATTGGTGATAAAATCGCAACCACAGTACAATAAATACTGTGGCTGTTGTCTACATTCATTCCATTCAGTAATTACTGAAAACAAAAAGCTTTTTATTTGTTTGTTTTTGTTTTTGTTTTTTAATGGAGTCTGCCTCTATCGCCCAGGCTCGAGTGCAATGACGTGATCTTGCCTCACTGCAACCTCCCCCTTCCGGGTTCACGCCGTTCTCCTGCCTCAGCCTCCCAAGTAGCTGGGACTACGGCACCTGCCACCATGCCCGGCTAATTTTTTGTTTTTTTAGTAGAGACGGGTTTTCACCGTGTTTTGCCCAATCTCCTGACCTCGTGATCCGCCCGCCTCGGCCTCCTAAAGTGCTGGGATTACAGGCATGAGCCACCGCGCCCTGCACAAAGAGTATTTTTGTCGTTTTTCTTTTTTTTCTTTTGCTGATCCAAATCCATAGACACACTGTATTCTATCAACAGGCCTATGTTTAAGAATCCCTGGGTTGAAACTTAAGGGGTAGAAGAGGGGAAGAATGTAGACACTGGTAAATCCAAAGGCCTGAGATAGAAAAATTGAAGTGACTGTGATGGCCTCTCCTTCCTTTGATAAGCCTGGAATGAGTTAATCTGATGAAAAGACGGTGATAGTTTCAGGACATAGCAGTTTGAGAAGAGGAGAAAAAAGAGCATATGAAATCATCATACAGTGGTGGAATAAAGCTGATAACACAAATGTGAATTTGCCTACAGCAATGATGGCCTAATACAAGTTGGTAATCTTGAAGTTATGATGTTGACACTGTATTATATACCAAAATCCCAACGTTGTGAGTGCATTTTGTGTATGCACAAATTGAGTGCATATACAAATTAATATCAAAGTAAAGGATACTAAAAGGGAATTTTTGAAGGGTGTAGTAGGATAACAAGTAATTTCATTTCTTTCCTTCTTTTTCTTGATTTTTCAAAATTTCTTTAATAAAAAATGTATTACTGAAAACAAATACTGATGTATAGAAAAATGTGACATTGCAAACTGGAAGGCAAGTAGTTGGGATCTAAAACTTAGATTGGAAGCAAAATTTATAAACTACCATCAGAATTTATCTAATCCATGAGTCAGTATTTCCCACAAGGTACAAGAATTATGTCTTTCTCACTTTGTGAACACTCATTGCAAAGCAAGATAAACTTATTTTTTCAGTAGACCAAAAGCATTAAAATGTGAAGCCTTAAAGTTTTGAATTTAAGCAACTGAGGAAAACGTCGAACATTTCGCTAGCATGGTCACCACTTAGAGCAGATTTAAGTGAATCTTTTTTTTCACACAGATTAAACCAGTTCAATAAAAGCGAATCTTTATGATGTGTGTGCCTCTCTGAGCTTGCTTTTTCAAATAAATTCTTTGAACATACATACAGGTTTGAAAGGAATTATTTTTTCTGATAATACTTTTTTATTGCTGTATTGCAGTGAGTAGGGCCCCACACTGCTCCACATTTCAAAATAATGTAGCCTATTACTTAGCTAGTCCCGTCTATTCAGTAAATACCATAAATCCAAAGCTCAGCAGGTATAATTCAGAAACTCCTACAAATGTCACCTGCCACTGTAATTTCTACCCCACATTTCTATAATGGACCTCGCAGAGGAGCTATAGTGCTATTTTTCCATAAAATATGTCCCTTTGTGACTTCATGGTCATATTTTTATGCTAATCTACTTAGCTGCAGGAAATAAAGAAAAGTTGGTGCTAAACTGGCATAAGTCAATATAGAACAGATTAAGCACAGTTTCATATTATCACTGCTTAAGGTAGACATTTTAGCATTACTGTATTAAATATGTGTGTAGTGTGTTTCTTATTCTTTATTGAAATTATGTAATTTCTACACATTTTGTTAAAATGAGTTATATAATCTATATACTCAGCATAAGGTATACACATGTAAAAATATCAATAAATATACAACAGTGAGAGGACTTCAAAAGTGTGTGCCACTTATTAATTATTCTTTAACCATTCACCATTTCCTAATCACCTTTACTTTTCTAGTTATTTTTATTTCTAACTCGCACATAAGATCCATCACTCACACATAAGGCCAGCCATTACACAGTTATAAGCAGGGACCCGTATACTTCCACCTTTACCCTACGCTAGAATTTCTTCAAATTCACTTTCAGAAGTCTCACAACACTTATTCCCACACACCTCACCTACCTTTGCTCAAACTTACCTTAGATGATGAAGTCCTCTTAGTTTTCATGTGTGTTTGGTGTTTTGTTGTTGTTTTTTTTCTGATTCTCACAATCTTTCTCCTTACATTTTAGCTCAAAAGCTTCAACCATTGAAAACTCCTTTCATGCTGCAGTCAGAATTAATCACTTACTGATCTGGCTGTCACAGCAAGTAACTTCCACCTCTAATCAAATATGTCAAATATACAACTTTATTCCTATCTATTGTCTCCCACACTAGATCTGATTTCTTTGAAGAGAGTGGTTGTGTCTTACATCTTTTTATCTCCAGGATCTATCTCAGATCTTTGTTCTGGAAAGAAGCTTAAATAATGCTTGTTAAATTGTATTGACTGTTAAATTTATCTCTCACTGAGCTGGGCTGTCTCCTGTTTGACCAATGTGACTCAGGATTTGATACTGAAAAGTAGAAGTGAAGCAGTATTCGTAAATTAGCAGGTTTAGGTAGAAACCCATGTGAGAGCAAACAGAAAGGACCTTGGGTGACATCAATATGAATATGACACCTAAACAAGCATGAGAAATGGACAGCAGCTTTCTCTGTACCCATAGCACCTGCTACACAGGGGTGTTGGGAAAATGTGAGAATCTGAGGGAATGACTGTAATGAAATGATGGCCCAAGAAACATGTATGACTACTCTTAAAAAGACTGTTCTTGCAAAATCTAATTTTTTCATCAGGCTTGATTTGTCTGGTCTCTGACATCTTCTCATTCTTGATAATATCCATGAAGAAAATCCTCACATCCTATCTCTGCCTTGCACCTAACCACTTTAGACATATAACTACAAGTTTATGTGCATACCACTTGATATATAGTGAAGGCTTATACTTTAACTTACTTTAAAATAAGCAGTATGCCAATGGGTGTTCCAGTGTATGCAGTTGTCTTTCTATTTCATTTCGTTCATTTTTTTATTCTAAAATTAAGTATTTAATTTGTTATTTTTTGTGATGTAAAGGACACACACACACTTATACAAACACACCAAGCACACACATGCATGTGCTCACCTATACACATATGCATATCTACACAGGCATGGAAAAAACTAACTTTACAATTGACTTTCTTGTTAAAGCACCAACGATCACATGAAGATCCAGCTGCTCTGAGGTTCAATTTCTATGAAGTTATTTCAGCAGGACATTGGGCTCCATCTGACTTAAAAACTTTGCAGAGAAGATGCCTAGTACCTGGATGGTATGCAGTCCACATAGAAAGATGGCTAACTTACTTTGCTACTTCTCAGGTAATGTCCTGATATTACTTTCTTCTATTTATTTTATTATAATGTCCTGAAATTTTATATTTTATCATAATGTCCTGAAATTACTTTCTTGTGGTTATCATGATTGTGTTGCACTGATAAGCAGAAAATGTGAATGAACATTGCCACGGACGGTGATTTATAATCAGAGACAATTATAAGTAAGGAAGAAGTGTGCATTTTACATTTTTAATTTTATTAATACTATTAACATGATAAATATCTCTAAAACACATTCTTGCAATCTTCTTTTGAATAGTAGCTAGTCTCAGAGTGATAAGTTCTCCACAGGAGACATCACGTGATTTACAGGCGACAACTCTCAACTACCAGTACAACAGCCAGTTAGACAACAACTTTATGAAACACCACATGCATATAACTACATGATGTTTGTTCTGTATGGCCCTTATAAGGAAAGAAGGTCATTCACTAGGCTGCCAAATGGGGGGTGTTATAATGGCTACAGGAACATGAGATAGACCAAGAAATAAGGATTTGAAAAAAGGCATCCATATTTTTTTTTTGTATTGATTTTTTTTAAAAAAACTTTTCAGTTCTGGCGTAGGTGTGCAGAATATGCAGGTTTGTTACATAAGTATACATGTGCCATGGTAGTTCGCTGCACCCATCAATCCGTCATCTACATTAGATGTTTCTCCTAATGCTATCCCTCACCTTGCCCCACACCCCTGACAGGACACAGTGTGTGATGTTCCCCTCGCTGTGCCTATATGTTCTCATTGTTCATTTCCCACTTATAAGTGAGAACATGTGGTATTTGGTTTTCTGTTCCAGTGTTAGTTTGCTGACAATGATGGTTTCCAGCTTCATCCATATCCCTGCAAAGGACATGAACACATCCTTTTTTATGTCTGCATAGTATTCCATGGTATATGTGTGCCATATTTTCTTTATCCAGTCTAAAATTGGTGGGCATTGGGCTGGTTCCAAGTCTTTGCTATTGTGAATAGTGCTGCAATGAACATACATGTGCATGTGACTTTATATTAGAATGATTTATAATCTTTTAGGTATATACCCAGTAATGGGATTTCTGGGTCAAGTGCTAGCTCTGGCTCTAAATCCTTGAGGAATTGCCATACTGTCTTCCACAATGGTTAAACTAACTTATGCTCCACCAACAATGTAAAAGCGTTCCTATTTCTCCACATTCTCTCCAGCATCTGTTATTTCCTGACTTTTTAATGATCACCATTCTAACTGGCATGAGATGGTATCTCATTGTGGTTTTGATTTGCATTTCTCTAATAAATAGTGATGATAAGCTTTTTTCCATGTTTGTTGATCGCATAAATGTCTTCTTTTGAGAAGTGTCTGTTCATATCCTTTGCCACTTCTTGATGAGATTGTGTTTTTCTTGTAAATTTGTTTAAGTTCCTTGTGGATTCTGGATATTAGCCCTTTGTCAGATGGATAGATTGCAAAAATTTTCTCCCATTCTGGAGGTTGCCTGTTCACTCTGACGATAGTTTCTTTTGCTGCGCAGAAGCTCTTTAGTTTAATTAGATCCCATTTGTTAATTTTGGCTTTTGTTGCCGTTGCTTTGGGTGTTTTAGTCATGAAGTCTTTGCCCATTCCTATGTCCTGAGTGCTATTGCCTAGGTTTTCTTCTAGGATTTTCATGGTTTTAGGTCTTACACATAAATCTTTAATCCATCTTGAGTTAATTTTTGTATAAAGTGTAAGGAAGGGGTCCAGTTTCAATTTTTTGCATATGGCTAGCCAGTTTCCCCAACACCATTTATTAAATAGGGAATCCTTTCCTCATTGCTTGTTTTTGTCAGGTTTGTCAAAGATCAGATGGTTGTAGATGTGTGGTGTTATTTCTGAGGCCTCTGTTCTGTTTCATTGGTCCGTATATCTGTTTTGGTACCAGTACCATGTTTGTTTGGTTACTGTAGCCTTGTAGTATAGTTTGAAGTCAGGTAGCATGATGCCTTCAGCTTTGTTCTTTTTGCTTAGGATTGCCTTGGCTATACGGGCTCTTTTTTGGTTCCATATGAAACATCAACATCAACATAAAGTACCCCTACCCAAAACCCCATCCAAAGGTTGTCAGCTCCAAAGATCAAAGGTAGATAAATTCATGAAGATGAGGAAAAACCAGTACAAAAATGATGAAAATTTCAAAAAACAGAATGCCTCTTCTCCTCCAAATGATTGCAACTCCTCTCCAGCAAGGGCACAAAACTGGACACAGAATGAGATTGATGAATTGACAGAAATAGGCTTCAGAAGGTGGGTAATAACAAACTCCTATCAGCTAAAGGAACATGTTGTAACCCAATGCAAGGAAGTTAAGAACTTGATAAATATTACAGGAACTGCTAACTAGAATAACCAGTTTGGAGAGGAACCTAAATGGCCTAATGGAGCTGAAAAAATGCAGCATGAGAACTTTGTGAAGCATACACAAGTATCAATAGCCGAATCAATCAAGCAGAATAAAAGCTATCAGAGATTGAAGATCAACTTACGGAAATAAGGTGTGAAGACAAGATTAGAGAACAAAGAATAAAAAGGAATGAACGAAGCCCCCAAGAAATGTGGGACTATGTGAAAAGACCAAATCTACAATTGATTGGTGTACTTGAATGTGACAGGAAGAATGGAACGAAGTTGGAAAACACAATTCAGGATATTATCCAAGAGAACTTCCCCTACCTAGCAAGACAGGCCAACATTCAAATTCAGGAAATACAGAGATCATCACTAAGATACTCCATGAGAAGACCAACCTTAAGACACATAGTCGTCAGATTCTCCAAGGTTGAAATGAAGAAAAAAATGTTAAGGGCATCCAGAGAGAAAGGTCAGGTTACCTACAAAGGGAAGTCCATCAGACTAACAGCAGATCTCTGCAGAAACCCTATAAGCCAGAAGAGAGTGGGGACCAATATTCAACATCCTTAAAGAAAAGAATTTTCAAACAGAAAAAAGAATTTCATATTCAGCCACACTAAGTTTCATAAGCAAAAGAGAAATAAAATTATTTAATGAGAAGCAAACACTGAGGGATTTTGTCATCACCAGGCCTGCCTTACAAGAGCTCCTGATGGAAGCACTCAATATGGAAAGGAAAAACCTGCACCAGCCCTGCAAAAACACATCAAAATATAAAGACCAATGACACTATGAAGAAACTGTATTAACTAATGTACAAAATAACCAGCTAACATCATGATAACAGATTCAAATTCACACATAACAATATTAACCTTAAATGTAAATGGACTAAATGCCCCAATTCAAAGACACAGATTGACAAATCGGATAAATAGTCAAGGCCCATTGGTGTGCTGTATTCAGGAGACCCATCTCACATGCAAAGACACACATAGGCTTAAAATAAACTAATGGAGGAATATTTACAAAATAAATGGAAAGCCAAAAAAAAAAAAAAAAGAAAAATGCAGAGGTTGCAATCCTAGTCTCTGATAAAACAGACTTTAAACCATCAAAGATCCAAAAAGACAAAGAAGGACATTACATAATGGTAAAGGGATCAACACAACAAGAAGAGCTAACTGTCCTAAATATATATGCACCAAATACAGGTGCACCCAGATTCATATAACAAGTTCTTAGAGACCTACAGGACATTCAGACGCCCACAAAATAATGGTGGTTGACTTTAACACTGTACCGTCAATATTAGACAGAACAATGAGACAGAAAATTAACAAGGATATCCAGGAATTGAACTCAGCTCTGGATTAAGTGGACCTAATAGACATCTACAGAACTCTCCACTCCAAATCAACAGAATATACATTCTTCTCCGCACCATATAGCATGTATTCTAAAATTGACGACATAATTGGAAGTAAAACACTCCTCAGCAAGTGCGAAAGAATGGAAATCATAACAAACAGTCTCTCAGACTACAGTGCAATCAAATTACAACTCAAGATTAAGAAACTCACTCAAAACCGCACAACTACGTGGAAACTGAACAACCTACTCCTGGATGACTACTGGATAAATAACAAAATTAAGGCAGAAATAAAGAAATTCTTTGAAACAAATGAGAATAAAGAGACAACATACCAGAATCACTGGTACACAGGTAAAGCAGTGTTAAGAGGGAAATTTATACCACCAAATGACAACAACAGAAAGCTGGAAAGATCTAAAATCAACACTCTAACATCATAGTTAAAAGAACTAAAGAAGCAAGAGCAAACAAATTCAAAAGCTAGCAGAAGACAAGAAATAAGTAAAATTAGAAAATTAGAGCAGAACTGAAGGAGGTAGAGACACGAAAAACCCTTCAAAAAATCCATGAATCCAAGAGCTGGTTTTTTGAAAAGATTAAGAAAATATATGGACCACTAGCTAGACTAATGAAGAAGAAAAGAGAGAAGAATCAAATAGACACAATAAAAAATGATAAAGGGGATATTACCATTGATCCCACAGAAATACAACTATCATCAGAGAATACTATAAATGCCTCTGTGCAAATAAACTAGAAAATCTAGAAGAAATGGATAAATTCCTGGACACATACACCTTCCCAAGACTAAACCAGGAAGAAGTCAAATCCCTGAGTAGGCCAATAACAAGTTCTAAAATTGAGGCAGTAATTAATAGCCTACCACCAAAAATACCAAAAACAAAAAAACAAAAGACAGGATCAGACTGCTTCACAGCTGAATTCTACCAGAGGTACAAGGAGGGACTCCTCCCTAACTCATTTTATAAGGCCAGCATCATCCTGATATCAAAACCTGGCAGAGACATAATGAAAAAAGCATAATTTTACATTCTGTCTTCCAGCTCAGGGCAAGTTGAAACGCTAGTAGCTGGGCCTTACCATTGACCTTTTTCCAGTATTCTTTTTTCTTGGAGACGGAGTCTCGCTCCATCACCCAGGCTGGAGTGCAGTGGCGCGATCTTGGCTCACTGCAACCTTGGCCTCCTGGGTTCAAGCAATTCTCCTGTCTCAGCCTCCCAAGTAGCTGGGATAACAGGTGTCTGCCACCACACCTGGCTAATTTTTGTATTTTTAATGGAGACGGGGTTTCACCTTGTTGGTCAGGCTGGTCTCGAACTCCTGACCTCAAGTGATCCACCCGCCTGGGCCTCCCAAAGTGCTGAGATTACCAGTGTGAGCCACTGTGCCTGGTCTTTTTCAGTATTCCTTTGACAATTATGATATTCTAGGGCAGTGATCCAATGATCAGTAAGGCAGGGACCAACATTTCCCTTCTCCCTCTATCTTGTTTTTTTAAGATTAGATGAGTGATTTTCATTTGGATGACCACTATTTCTGAGCCCTAAGCTCCAGGGTTACTAATAGGAATTTGGTAGGCTGGATGATTATCTGATCACACAACAAATGGAAAATTATGTTTCTACTGAAGTACTAAATCAAGAAAGTGTCTATGTTTACTTCTGATTTACAAAAAGCAAGTTAAGGGCTATAACTTGATAATTCACAAGAAATGATGCCTATGGCAAACTTTATTGTTTATGTGGAAAGATGGAAGAATAATAAACATTCAAATGTATTCTAAGTAGGGCATATTTGCTTCCCATCCACACTGATCTAATTTATGAATGCCACACCAGGTAAAGGAAGGCATCACAGTCTATTCAATTTAATTTTGTTCTTCATAAAGTGATTATTTCTGACTTTACAGTTGCTAATTATTGATGGACAGCAGCTGAGATCTGACCCAGCTACTGTGATGGATGAAGTCCAGAAGTTTCTGGGAGTTACACCTCATTATAATTACTCCGAAGCACTAATGTGAGTCTATTGTCATGCTTGATTTCATTTGTATTATTTGCCATCATAAATTATCACTGGTAGATGTGTATATAACATCATTAATACTAGCTGGAATTTATACATCCTATGCTACCTACAAGCAATCAAAGGAATCTCCTCATCAATCATGCAGTGTTTCTCATTTATTTATTTATTTATTTATTTATTTATTTATTTATTTTAATTTTTTTTTTTTGAGACGGAGTCTCGCTCTGTCACCCAGGCTGGAGTGCGGTGGTGTGATCTTGGCTCACTGCAAACTCCGCCTCCCGGGTTCACGCCATTCTCCTGCCTCAGCCTCCCGAGTAACTGGGACTACAGGCGCCCACCACCATGCCCGGCTAATTTTTTGTATTTTTAGTAGAGATGGAGTTTCACCATGTTAGCCAGGATGGTCTTGATCTCCTGACCTCGTGATCCACCCACCTCGGCCTCCCAAAGTGCTGGGATTACAGGCGTGAGCCACCACGCCTGGCCATGTAGTGTTTCTCTTTTAAATACCAGAGATACTTTATTTTATAAAGTATATTTTATATTATTGTAAATTCTTCTTTTTGTGAGTTTTCCCTGCACCAGTTTGATTAAGTAAATTTTTTACTTGCCTACCTGTGCAGAAAGTGTCCTAGAAATTTAGGTTACAAAGGTGAAAATGATATTGTCTCCTTTTTCACATAATTTACAGTTTAGAAATGAAATGCAATATTTAGGGCAGAATTGGGAAATGAGTATATTCATGTTTTATTCTGTATTTATTGAATTATTTATAACCAAATATAATCATGTATACTGTTCCAGCTATTTATTGTTGCATGACAAACCATCCCAAAGCCTAGTGGCTTATAATGACCATTATTTTATTATGCTCATGGAATCTGTGGGTAGGAATTAGACAGGATACAGAAGGATGGCTTGTCTTTGCTCATGATGTTTAGAGCCACAGCCTGGAAGACTTGAATACCTGACTTTGACTCAGATGACTGGGACCTGAAATCATCTGGAGTCTCCTTCACTCACATCTCTGAATCCTGGACTGGCATGGCTCAAAGGCTGAGATCAGTTGGTTGGTGACTGTCCATGAGGCCTCCTGGATGACTTGGCTTCCTCACACTGTGGTGGCTGTGTTCCAAGAGGGAGCAATAAGTCAAGGGAGCATGTGGTCCAAGACAGCCAAGTCCTTCTCTAACCTAGACTTGCAAGTCACACAGTTTAACTTAGGCTATATTCTACTTGATATAATAGTCAGTAAAGCCAGTCTAAATCCAAGGGGAGAAAAACAAGACAGCACCTCTTGATGGGGTGGGGCAACATCACCAGTGGGAAAGAATGTGGGATGGGAGATATGATTGCTATCATCTTGGGAAAATAAAACCATGTATGTTTATAATTAAAAATGGGGAGAAATGTAAAAGAAGAAAAATGACAAACAAAAACAAGCAGCCAAAAGACACCTTAAAAGAGATTATACTTTACTCATAAAAGCCTCTCCCACAAAGTCTGATACACAACCTGTTAAATTTTAGATAAAATTCTAACAAGCGCAATTGTATAATTTCCCATTTCACAGCAGATTAGAATCAGCAATTAGACAATTAGAGAGGCTAACAGAGGAACAGGAAAAGCAGTAATAAGATTGGGTTGTTCCTTATCCACTAAAACAACCTTAATGAAGTTTTTACCTACACATGGAAATAACAACAACACAAGGCATATTCCTGTTAATTAAGTAAACGAAGCTTCCTATAATATGTTTGTATTAATAGTTACTGATGTTGGCCTTTTTTCCCTGCCTCTCAGCAGTAGTTGAGGTAATGTTTCTATCCTGTTTATGACAAATAGTTGCTTATGGTTCAATAAACCTGTAAAATTACACTTTTGAAGGAGAGATTACAAACAAGTACAAAATATATGGTTTTAATATGTCTCACACATCACAAAAAGTAATAACCATAGAATAAAAAAACTCAAACCACAACCAACTCATGTGCTAAAAGTTGCCTAACAGTTATATTGAGGAAGATTTTGCATGTTAATTTCACAATTTCATGCCTACTAAAGTAAAACCATAAAGCAATGAATTGATGTAACTTAGAGAGGATAAATGTCCTTTGTTAGACTTAAGGCATATGAAGTTGCCAGTGCAATAAATGAAACCAGTATAGCAAAATCATGTAGATTCAAGGTTATGACAACCCTATCTAAGAAAAAAAAATGACTTTCAGTATTCTGGATGGCTCTCCTTTCTCTGATTGTATTAAGCTGTGCCTCACAACAGCTACTGTGGAAAACAAGGAGAAACCACGGCCCATCCTGAGACCACGGCCCTACCTGAGAGCAAAGGAGATGCTCTCAGCATGTGTATAAATATGTTGGCTTTGCTGCCAGGGTTGTATTTTACCTTAATGCAGTTAAATATTCTCATCCTGAGGCAGAAAACAATGTTTAGGGGCACTGTTATGCCAACTTCCTCATCTCATTTTATACAGCACGCTGAATTGTCTTTCCTCTTGGGAAATTAATGAAAACAGGAGAAAGGACTGTGATAGGCAGAGAGCAGATTGAAAAGTCCAGGTTGGAAATGACTCTGTCTTTCTTTTATCCATTTAACTAGTGATGTATTTAATTTTAATTTACAACATGTACTAGGACAACTTGGACTGCAAGGTTCAGGTCTCTAATAATAGGTTGGGCAGGGAACTGTGAAGAAAACTTCCCTCTCCCCCTAAATGAATTCACATATGTGCAGAAGCAAATTGCAGGTGCACCAGTATTATAGGAATGGGCCCAGGGCAACAAAATATTCTGCAACTAATTAACTTTACATCCCAGTCAATTATGCTTCATCCTTCTAAAACATCTGCTGAGCAACAAAAATGCAAACCTTTTCGATGTTTTATGCATGCAGCAAGTCCCGTAGTAATGAACTTAAAATTTCCCTTCTTATTTGGTTCATTCTTCCGTTTTTCCTCTCCTGTTAGTCCTAAACAAAAATTCTTATATATTTGACTTTTAAAAAAGAATTAGGCCACACATCCTTTCTTTTGTAACTCAGTGCAGCTATGGGAGCAAAACAGCATTAGTTTTCTTTAAGAATATGGGTACCCGAATTATCTAACAGAGTATCTGCGTTCAACAAGAGAAATAAGAGGTTGTCTAATCTTCCACTTTATTTTTACACTTCTAATTTGTTTTTTGAAAAGTGTAAGCATTTTGAACTATAAAAAATGCGATATTTTCTGAATTGAAAGCTTTAATTCACGTTTATATTCACAGAACTATACCTACATTACATTCAACCCCTTTAATGTATATCAGTGAATAATTTCACATAAATCTGTTAACATAACTTTGAAATCACCTCCATAAGTAAATAAAGTATCCTAAAGTTCATTTATATATGGGCTGTAATTTTAGTTATTGGTCTTTGATCTTTTATGGATTCATAGGTAAGCTAAGGAACTTAAGTTAAAAATTTAATGTAAAATTAAACTAAGGATCTATTTCTTTTTTTCATTAGAGTATAGCTACTTAAAATGCATAATAATATATATCTTCTTTCATCTCAGTTTAGCCTCTCTCAAATCAGCTAAATAAATATCTGGAAAAATGAATTAAATTAAATCAATGGGCATACAAAAATACATTTCCTTTATTCAATTGGTGAGGCTGTCTCACTGAAAATTCTGCATACAATTTGTAATCATTATATGTTTTATGTATTGTAGGTTTGATCCCCAAAAGGGTTTTTGGTGTCAATTACTGGAAGGAGGAAAGACAAAATGCCTTGGAAAAAGCAAAGGCCGAAAATATCCACCTATGGATCCAGAGGTAATATTTTCTTAATCTTTGAATTACTCTAGCAAAAATATTTGCAAACAGCTATTTCAAAACTAGTAACAAGAAATTTGCTTCCTTTCTTTCTCTGTTCTTTCTTTGCAATTAATAATTGTGTATACTTAGAGGATGATAGAGATAATTGATACATAGATAATAGATAGATAGATAGATAGATAGATAGATAGATAGATAGATAGATAGATATAGATTGATAGATAGGTATTAAGGATTAATATACATTCCTAGAAATTCTTTGCTGTTTGAATGCAATTCAAACATAAATATTTACTAAAAAGTGACTCATTTCCAAATGTAAAGCACTTAGTTTACTAAACAAGTGATTTTGGATAAAATATTAAAGCATCATTATTATGTATTCAATACAGATATTCAAGGCCTACATCACAGGTGGAACTGGACTAAGCAATGGAAAGAATACAAAGACAAAACAGTTGTGAACCCAGATTTATTACAGGATAAATAAATTAGTTATATCCACTGATTTGTAATAGGGACATAAAAACATAAAACAATGACAAACGAAACCAGAAAATGTCAGGAAAATATTTCAATAGAAGTGAGGATATGAGAAGAAACGCCTTATCTTGTAGAACAGGCTTGGAAAACCAGTCAGCAATTGGCTCAGCCAGGTATCATACATATTTCTCCTACGGCAAGGTGGGCAAAGGGCGATGCAGATGATTCATGGGTTACTATGGAAATAGATGTACCAGAAGGTCCTTAAGCTACATTTTTGAACTCAATAATTTCAAAAGGGTTTCAGAAATCACTTTAATCTACCAAGAAATAAATGTAATGTTCCCACTACTACTATAAACATCTTATCCAAAATGTGAAGTGTTTACAATCTGGTTTAAGGGAAGAAACATAATGAAATACCTGGTGAATGGTCCAAGATGAAATGTAGTTGTCTTAAATCCATTTTCACAGTATACACAAAAGTTGCTAAGGGAGTTTTATGTGGAAAAAGACCATTTGTGTTAAAATATTGAGGAGGGATTAAGAGAGATGGTGCAACTTGGACCAAACGGAAAACAATGAAGGAGCCATTGTTACCTATGCCAGCAACAGAAAAAGTGTTCATCTCTAATTTTATCAAACAGATGGAACGCTGCCAGTTGGGCTATAATATGAGATAAATGACACCCGGGAAGAAAGTCCAGTTGCAAATGTCCTGTTTTCCAGAAATCTGTGTAGATGAAAGATAACTATAGAACTAAAACCATTCATATGTTTTATATTTTTTTTAGCATTTCTCTAATAACGGCCCATCTCTGCAACATGATTAGAGACATGAGCATTGTAAAAAGGATCAGGTTTCAGAGACCTTATAATATTTTGGAAGCCTAAAGCTCTTAGTGACTAAAAAAATATATTTCAGCTCTGAGTAAATGTATAAAAATTGTGCATAATATTGCAAGTTATTGTTTGTAATAGTGAATTTTAGTTTTTATGATTATGCTCACATTTAATTTTTATATTATGAGCCAATTTTCAAAAAATGTATGTCAGTTTATCTATCTTACTTCTATAAATTTCATTCCTCATGAGGTCCTTATCTCATTTATCTCTAGTATTATACTCCTGTCATCGTTTTTTCTTTCTGTGTAGACTTCATATATCCCACAATGAATATGTGCTGTAATGACAGATAAGCCGCATAAGATACACCTGGTCCTGTTTCTATTTTGTAGCCACACATTCGCCAAATATTTTCAAAGGGTAAAAATAACTGATATTTGAGGAAAAATACAAGAAATATAATATGTTGTAGACACATATATTGTAGTAGATATATTCCTTAAGAAATATAGATTACAAAATATTGTTTGATGAAACGAAGAGCTTTTTTCAAGTTCTTTTTTTTTTCTTTCCAGTCTAGAACTTTCCTCTCTAATTACTACCGAGATCATAACGTGGAACTATCCAAACTGCTACACAGACTGGGACAGCCTCTGCCATCATGGCTGAGACAGGAACTGCAGAAAGTGAGATAGCACTGGAGACAAGAACCAAGCCTCTCAAGATACTTTTAGTGTTAAAAAAAAAAAAAAAAAAAAATCCACAACCTTTATTCTTAAGCACTTGTGATTGTCAACAAAGAACTGTGTGAATAAATTTCCTTCAGCCTTTTTCATAAAATGAAAACTGTTATATATGCACGCATTGACAATTACTAGCATCAGTCCCTGTGTAAGCTTCTGGGAGATAATGTGGGGGTTTGTGGCATTATCCAGTTTCTAGTGTATAGATCATAGCACAACCCAGTTCCTATGTTAAGCATAAGGTTTCAGATACTCTATGTACGCCTGATAATCTGGATTATATACAAGTGACCAGTTAAAACGTTAAGGAAAAAATGAGTGAGGTATCTGTAAATGAGGTTAGTCGTAACTCAGTATTTGAAGTAAGGGCTAACATTTTCCCCTTGGGAATTTAAAAACAATTTTGCTTTTATTATGAGAAGGAATTATGTGACCCCATACTCTTATTGTGAGTAATTATTCTTTATTATATCAGCCCACATATTTTCTTTCTGCAGTGACTCCTCTCTATTAATTTCTTGACTTAGAGCTTCCCATGTGTTTTGTTTGTTTTCCTCCTGTAAGAGGGGACTGTCTGAGAGCTTCCATATTCACTGATATTATTTTATCTGGCAGCACATGCCTTTCCAATTGAATATGTCATTATGATTCCAGCAAAATCTGTTAAAGTTTTTGGGGAAAAAGAAGAGTATGAAGCTGCATAATACCACTATTAAGTCTAAGGCCATCTTTAAGTGGGTCCAGAAACTTACCATACTAATAATCTAGATATTTCCACCTTGACAATGATATAGTATTTATATATTTTTCACTATCTGAGGTAGAAATAAAGCTTTATTGATAAAATATGGAATGAAAACACCAAGGTGTGTTTGCATATATAGTGAGGTAGTGTGCCTTCTACATAGTATATGTCAATCTTTTTAAAGCATGAATTTTTTCATATATGCCAGTACATCTACTATTGTAGAAGATTATGTTTTTAATGCCTATTAAAAAAATAAGTATAATCCAAATCTTACCTCTTCAAACATCACTTATTCTCTAACCTAAACCCAATTTCTCAGCTACGCCACCCAAATATTAATTTCTGGAGAAGTAATGTTCTTTCTGTCTTAGAGTTATAGGTTATTTTCTTATTTGGAGGTTATTGTAAGGCTAGTTGCATTTTTATCTCATTTGTCAATGATGGTATATTGATATTTTGTTAAACTTTTCAGTAATACATGAAGGTAAAATTTCAACAGAACAGTAAATCAAACTGACTTTGGTAACATTACCCAACAACCTCTGCTTCCTCCAGAGTAATTTTTCTGTTGGCTGTAGATAATACTACTTTTTCTTGTAATTTGAGAAATTATGCTTGCAATAATATAATAGCAAATCAAAGATCTGTATTTTTCTGTATGTTGTTTGTTGTTGATTTTTAAGCAAACACATCAAATTTATGTGTCCTAATTGGGGTAGTCAGCATCCAACTTTACATTTATACTTCATTAAGATTGTTTGTTTTCCTGTTGTTTCTCAGCAAAAGGATCTTGACCCTCTTCAAAACATGTAAGGCTTTTCATGGATATGAATGTAAATCACATATACTTTTGTTGTTCCTCTCTGTTAACTGTGAGGCTCAATTCTCCACCTTATTATTGCATAAGTGAGTGTGTGCTTCACAGCATTTTATTACGCACACTGAAATCACAGTAACTGCATGTAGAGCTCTAACCTTTGATTGATTTATTCATTAGTTTCCTCCAATGTATAATTATTTCTTTTTAAAAATAGAGATTAACTTTTTTTCAAGTGGAATAAAAGTAATATTTATAGAACAAAGGGAAACTTTTTTACATCTCAAGTACAATCTATGTAACTCAAGGTTCTCCCACCCATCACCTGGCATTTAAAAGTGTAACTCATTTTATGCCATTTTCATTGTTTTCTAAATAATGTATACAATATCAGTTAGCTGTCTACAGATATCTGGGAGCAAAATTTTCCCCAAACTCAACTAGTCTTTTCAATTTGGTTACTTTAATCAGTGTGAACATATTTCTCATGAAGGTTGATAGTGAAGACAACAAAATAAATTTTAATTATATAATTTATCTTCATCTTACAATAAACTACTAGGAGGAGCTCTGGGCTGTGAGATTATAATTAATCAGGAAAAATTTAATATTTAAGAATATCTTGCTGTTTTTTTCCAATTTTTACCCACTGGCTATTTTAGAATTATTGACTCAAGATTTTAATACATGTAATTATTTAAAATGTTAAATAAATTTGATCTCATGGTCTTAAATAATATATGTTTTAGTAGTCATGAAATTTATTTAAGCTATCTATAACTAAAAAAGTAATTACAATAAAGTTACAGAAATGGAGAATTTTAGTTCTTAGGCTAAATTCAGGCTGTTTGTTTAAACTTTCTTTTAATTTCTACCAATGAATATAAGGCATCACAAACTGTAGGCAAAACAATTAAGTAAAGTAGTATATTAATCTCTCAAATAAGGTGTCAAACTAACTTTCAGTGGTATCTATTCAATAGTCAGTATAAATACAGAGACGGGGTCTTGACAAAAGCCACAATAAAAACGGCGTGGTGGGCCATAAAGCAAAAGAAGTTTCTCAATAAATATTTCTGAAAAGGGATAGATACCTCATCGCTGTGAAATAACAACACCTTAGAATCCTATATGTTCTCTTCACCACTTTAAATGACATACTTTCTTTAAAAATTCTAAAGCAAGCTAGTTTCTCTCCTTTCTTTTTTTATAATCCAGTTGCCTAATTCACAGATATAATTACTGATGACCTCACATTGATAAAGGCAAAAACAATATTTGATTATTGTCTTTATCAAAATGTGTATGCATATCAAGTAACAGTCTCCAAAAATTATATTACAAAACTCATCCCAAACCAAATTTTGTTTGTATTTAACAATAGCCCAATGAGAATTAAATAAACAACAAGAAAGAATGCTAGTGAGAAAAAATTATACTCTTATCACATTTTTTTCTAGAAAAATAGCTTTTAGTCCAATACAAGATTTTGTAGCCCTTAATTTTAACAAACCCATCCATTGACCCTGTGTAGTTTTTGTTGTTCTGTCTCACTGTTTTAATATAATGTGACACACTTACCATGAGAACTGCTTTATTTTTAATTACAGACAACACAAAACATGTATGGGGGAAAGATATCTTAAAAGCTCAGTTTCTGGTGGCTAGAAAACATAATTGTTTTGTTGATTGAAGTACCTCAAAAATAATGCTGGCCCATTATTCCAAAAAGAAAAAAATCTGTTAGTATTGCAAGTAGAATTTTCTTTCAACAATAAGAGCACAGCTTAGCTATGGACACACACACACACACACACACAAACACACACACATATTATATGTGTATAATGCAAATGTATATGCATATATATGGTGTCTGAGAAACTTCAACTAGTTTTTGATCTCCCAAATTATATTTTCTATGTCAGCCAGTGAGGTGGGTGGGAAAAGCAGAGAAAGAACTCTGTATTTACTGAAATTGTTAAACAAACAAACAAACAAACAAAAAACAGATGTAGTACATGCATAGCGTATCATTGGTTCTCACTTCCTCGGAATAAATACTACTGCTGGTATGGTCACTAGAGTCATGTTTTTTCTCCTCTGAAATCCAAGGCTTTAATCAATCGTTGATTCTTTATCTTTTCTTTTATCTTTCTTCACTGTATACATACTCCCTGAATTTTAAACCCTTAACAAGTATAACCACAAGGTTATGAGAACAGACTTTGGATGTCTGAATTCTCACCCCAGTTCTACCTCTTACTAGCTACTAGCTGTGTGGCCTTGGACAGTTTGTGGAGCTTTTCTATGCCAGTTAGTAAAAGATAGACAATAATTATTCATTGGGTTTTTGTAGGCATTAATTGAAAATACATTTAAATAACTTAGCACAATGCTGATGCAGTTGGGTGGGAATGTGTTAACAACATGTAAAATTTGAATCATTCTCTCTTTGTTTATCAAAAAGAATATGTTTTTCCTACTCCTTTTAAAATAAAACATATAAATCTTAAACATATAATTATATATGGTCAAAATGGGAAACTGTCTTCCTCATCACTATCAAAAAATAAATTTTGTACTTCTCCTTACTGTTTTTCTGATAATATTGACAGTAAAATAGTGCCATCTGAGTCCATTCTACTGAAGTCTCTTTCCTTTTTCTCCTATCTATTCCTTTGTCAATCTATTCAGTAGAATATCTCCCTTGTATTTCTCTTTATATTGCTCTCTTAAATTTCTTTGCAACCTAACACATATTCTATCAAAAATATCAGATCTAGAGCTGCAACTTCCTCAAACCAAAGTCACAAAATTTAATGACAGCGTATGTATCATATGGAGACATATATATAATAGAGGCATATATTATAAAGAATCAGTACTATAAAATTACAAGAAAATTTTTCAGAATTCTCCACAAGTCTTTATCTCTAATGTCACCTTCTTCTAGTAAGATTTTGCCACAAATAAAAATGATTTATTATATTTAAATATATTTTCCATTACATTTATTAATATCAAACACTGTTGTTTTCTGCCTTTTTTTTTTTTTTTTTTTTGAGACAGTCTCACTCTGTCGCCCAGGCTGGAGTGCAGTGGTGTGATCTTGGCTCACTGCAACCTCCGCCTCCTGGGTTCAAGCTATTCTCTTGCCTCAGCCTCCCGAATAGCTAGGATTACAGGTGTCTGCCACCACGCCCGGCTAATTTTTGTATTGTTAGTAGACATGGGGTTTCACCATGTTGGCCAGGCTGGTCTCAAACTCCTTACCTCAGGTGATCCACTCGCCTTGGCCTCCCAAAGTGCTGGGATTACAGGCATGAACCACCGCTGCCCGGCTTGTTTTCTGCATCTTTAAAACTGCAGATACACAACATTTCTTGCCTGAAATAAGATATTTATATAAGTGATTAATTTCCATT